GTACAACGGAATTATCAAGCAATGACAAACGTCAATTATTGGTAAGCTTTAAAGCGGGAGAGGGAGGAATTTCCCCCACTTCTAACCAGAACAAACCTTTGTTTGTGTTGGAAGGAGAAGCAGAAAAGTGAGCTAAGGGTGAAGACAGATTGTTGAGACATAAAATAAAGTGAACATGTTGCACATGCAGACTACAAAGCAATATTAGGTGCAGGTTAATGAAACATTCAAGATAGAGGAGTTCATGGCAGAGACATTTAACACATTTCAACACGTTTTTCTTACAGCACATAGTGAAAGTATCAATGATAATTCTGAGGAAACTTCCAAGTCCATGATGTTCCACATCCTTGTACCTGGATGTCCAGAACCTCTACTTGAGTGACCAGCCATTCTCTTTAATTTTTCACTGGATAGCCCAAAGGTTTAAAAATGACAGATTGAATCCAGGAGGCAATCAAGGTATTATAAATATCCCTCTCCAACTTCTTCCATGGCTTAGTTCTATAAAAATTAAATTTTATAGACTTAACTTTATGCACGGTAGTCAGTCATCATTCTAATTTGTTTTCAAAATTTGGACCAAGCAAGATGTAAAGAAATAAACCAAAGTAAGTATATGTATTGAAGAAAGAAATCTCAATTTAAGAATGGAAATCTGAATCTAAAAAAAAAAAATCAAATCTAAGTTATAAATACAGAATTATAAATATTTGTATTATTCTATTCTGTTGGAATCAGGCATTAAAAAAACCAACAACAACAAAAAAACAACCCACCACTCACAAAAGACCCAAGGCTTTAAATAGCATTCTGTAAGCATGTGAAGAATGCCCCTGTTCTTGCACTAAATCGAGAATAAAACTCTTGGGCAATTATCTTCACAAAATGTAACATGGAGTACAGCAGCATACTTTCTTTGAAAAGATTAGGACACCAAAGAGAACCAGAGAAACTGGAAGAATACGTCTTATAGTCTTGACCATAAAAACCACCAAAAAACAAAACCCCAAACCCTTTCTTTACAATTCTTTACAAAAACTATCCAAGATTAATGTAATGGCCTTGAATCTAAGGGTAAAAAAAAAAAAAAAAGAAAAAAGACACTTCAGCCTCAGTTACAGAAAGCGACACATTATTTCATATGTTTATCTTTTTTCTTTCTTAGAAAGAGTTAAAATAAAAAAACACGCAAACTAATTAATACTCAAACTGTTTTTGGTCTTCATTCATCCCCATAATCGAGAAGAACTGCTTTTCAAAGTAAAACTCACGTACTGATACGCACATATAAGCATGGTAAGAAGTGCCTGAAAATGGTGACAAAAATGGAACTGCCCAATCAGGCAGCCATACCATGCTAAATCAGTGACTCACAAGAAATAACTACTTTATTTCAAGAGAAGTCTAAACATTACAATTAAATCAAACAGTAATCGAGGGAGTCAAAATCTTTATCTATTCAACAGCGTTACCACAACCAATGGGGCAGAGGGCTTGCCTACATTCATTTAACAAGATAAAGCCTTTCTTCTCCTGCAAACTTCTCTTTTACAAGAATGAGCATATAAGCAAGCTTTTAATATTTGAAGGTACTACAGTAGAACATGAGAAAAATACAGAAGAGTGTGAAATTTATCCTAAACAGCTGAACCATACAAAAGTATTCTTTCAACTCCTATTATCTCACCACAGATTTTCTGAATGTGCCATCTTTGTACGACTGCTTGCAAACGTCTTTTTCTACCATAGGTGAAACCAGGGGAAAAAGAGTTGGTTTACAAAAGCTTGGATTCTACTGTTTACTACCCTTTGTTTGCTGATACAAAGGGGTTCCCCGCCCCCCATTGTCTGCATAGCCAGACTACTCTGAACTAAATGCACAAGAACAATATATTGATGACTTTCTGTAGCTGCAGTTCCAAAATTGTACTAACTACTGCAGCCATTTAAGTAGAATTTCTCAGGATATTATTGCTTGTTAAAAAGGACTGAAGTACAAAAAAAGGCTCGGCTCCAAAGATTCTATTACAACAGACATTGGTACACCCTATACATGCATTTTTTTGTAACACTACTAAAGCCACCATTTCTCTGTACTCAGTTCTCAAGTACAGAGGTATGACACTTCTCCTGAGAAGAATAACTTCCTTCAAAGAACAATCAGAGTGAGGTAGACAAAAAGTGGGAAGAGAATTACTGATGACAGCAGCCCTCAAAGGAGCAGATTAAGAAGCCTCTCTTCCCATTACCAAAAGGAATTCAGTAAAAAGAACCTCACAAAACATCTGTGAAAAAGAAAGAATCTACAAGATAACTGCAGTCTAGCTTCAAAAAGTTTGCATTTCCACCCTGGATGGATAAATGAATGCAAAACTAACTCAAATATTTGGGGTTGGTTGGCTGGCTGGGTTTTAGGCGGTTTCCCCCCCACCCCTTACGTGGGAAGGGGGGAAGAACACACTTCTTGCACACCATTTTTAAAAATACACAAATACCTCAAGAGAACTTAATCAAACCTCCTTTGATTTCAACAAATAAAAAGACCCTATCATACCTTATATATACAAGAAATAAAATAATAAATTTTAATTCTTCTATTTAGGTGTGCCCAGGTAGTACAGAAAGCTACTAAGTTATCAGCTACTAAACCATTCTTTGAAATATAAAATAAACTCACCCTGGTAGAAGCGTTTCTCAAAATTAAATTAACTTAATATATTTATCATTAATATGCAAATTAAATCTTTAAATTTGTAGCAAAAATGAAAGATTATGGAAGTGGACAACATTAAACCACTGTACATGCCACAATTTCAATATACAGTAGTTTAGTAATAGCTAAAGAATAGAAAAGAAAAAAGCATATGAATTCCTAGCATTAAACAGCAAACCGTGGTATCTCCTTTTTAAGTCAATACTAAACTAGCAGAGAAACCACTTGCTTTTATGGTAGTCTGACCCAGAGAAAAATCCCAGAAAGTAACAAGCCTTCAAACACAGCATATGTATTACCAAAATCCTCACAAATAAAATATAAAAGGAGCTATGCATTCAATATTTAGAAAGTTACCCTAATGCAGCTGAATACAGGCTTACTATTTGGTTTTCTTTACTACAAAGACTTAATTCTGAAACACAAATTCCTCAAGAGGGAACCTAGTCTTCCAGTTTCTGCATCAATGAAATAATCATAGTCTGCATAGTGGTGTTCATTTTTTAGTTCATATTAAATGTTAAATAAAAACAAGCACAATAATTTACTGGGAATTTCAGTTAATAATATCACATGCTAGTTATTAGAAAAAAAGTATTTTTGTATTCATAATTTCTATCAATGTCATGTAGCTTTTCAAAATTTACCATTTCCTTTGTAGTGCAGAAAATATTCTTAAAATTAAATGAGATTAAATCATATTTCTAAGCAAGTGTTCAAAAATAATAAAAATAACTTTTGATCTGTGACCTTTTAATGTCACATTTGAAGTATAAGGTTTAAATGCATGATAAGACAAGCTTATAATAGAAACACTGTCATGTTCTGGCAGAATTCCCAGCTATATCAAGCTGCATAAAAGAGAGATGTAACAAGGCAGCAGCATGTTTCTGGCTACCACCTTGGCAATTTGAATCCAACTAATACAACCCACAAGAGACTGATATCCACTTTCTGTACACTACATAACAGACAGAAAGATTAGGATTATAACTGTACAAAGTGTTATCTTATTCACCATTTATAATTACCACCCAATTTGTAGCTCTGAAGTCATTCAGAACACTGGAGGTTCTTTGGAGTGCCTCTCACATTCACACCACTGCAAACTAGTTCAGTAATTTTGATTGCATGGGTTTTCTTTAACCATGAAGGGATTAAACAAATGAGCCCCCCCAAATGTTTGCTTATTTCTGCAAACATAAGTGGGGAAAAATAAACTGATGATAAACTGATTTTTATGGAGTATGAGTTTCAAATAGCAAGCCGTAACATCCTAATTAGGGGCATGGTTTAGTGGTGGAGTTGGCAGTGCTAGGTTAACGATTGGACTTGATGATCTTAAAGGCTTCTATGATTCTAATACACTATTGATAACTTTGACTAGTTTGAGACAGTCTGCTTTGCCCTCTGCTCAAATCTGCATTATTTACTATGCTGGGGTTTTTTGTTGTTTTGTTTATTTGTTTAACTTGCTAGGTTTGTGTGCTCAGAATAGGTTTACATTTGAACAAAATAATTAAAGAAAAGTAAACTTTCTAACATCAGGTATGCAAGAAGTATGTATCCAATGCTTGATTGTGAAGCTGAAGATGGTGGTACTTTAACTCCTAGAAGATGTAGGTAGAAGGGCAATATCACAAAGCATGTCTAGCAATTGAAATTTCTCTTTGAAGATACATGGTGAGCAGAAAGACTTTCTCCTAAACTACAAGGAACAGCAGCCTAAAACCAGTGTTGCAACATCAAAGAAGAAAAATCCATGTCATGTAGGATTTCTGAAGGGCAAAGAAAACGAACAGACTTGTGGAGAACTCAGAATAGAGGAAAGACAGTACAAAAATATGCTAAATGAATTGTCATCTACGAAGTACAAAGGCCTGTTGGAAGTCATTTTAAAATGGACCTGGCTTAACATGTTAACATAAACAATGTTTTAACTCTTGAAGCATCTTAAGCCCTGCATCTGATAAATTTCTTAATAATCACTACCATCTTTTCAAAAGTCGATAGAGCAGCACCAACCACCTAACTTCAAAATCATTCTGTAAGTAATTAAATGCTTTCCACTTACATTGCTGTATTAGAAGAAAAAGAACACAATGCTACAACAAGTTGCACACACAATCCTACAACTTGCAGTAAGAAAAAAACCCACCACAATTAAATCAATTCAAGTTCTTCAACTAGGAAAAAACAGAAATATTGTTTTGACATGAAACAAAAACCAAACATGAATATGACAACTGAATTATATAATTACTCCATCTGTGTTTGTACTTACCTAGCAATACTTTAGCATCTTCCACATCAAAATCTCCATCTCCATCGGCATCATAGATCCCAAGTTTGCCTAGAAATGCAAAGAGAGGAAGAAGAAAGAATTAGGGATTCAGCAGTTTGTTTCCAGCACAGTGCTTTTAATGTGCGATGGTTGACTGTCAATGCTAGGTTGTTACCATATTTTTTTTAATGATTTAGCCATACTCTTCTTAACAATATTTTAAATTTCCTGGAAAATATTACAAATATTTTAAAGTTCCTTTCTGCATTTCCTAGACTTCAGACTGAACACAAGTTAGTCTTTTTTCCACATATTTATTTTGGTGCTCACAGATTTAAAACAAACCTGTAATTAAGTGATGCACTTCATGTGAACACGCTTTGCTCAGAATAAAATTTAAGTTCACGAGGAACATTCAGCACGTATGAGGGAAAAGAAATAATAAAACAAGAATTAATCAAATAATCACCGTTTGTTTTCTCATTATATGCTTCTTGCCATTCTAAAATCTCAGAAAACAAAAATAGATAGGTATGTAATTTCTAGTGCCAAGTTAATAGAAGGTAAGCAACCTACTTCCTGGACAACGGAAAAATATTCATAATTTTATCAACAACTGTATAACATTCACTGCAGACAAAAAAGTTGTCCATCCTGTTATAGGTGACTATAGGTGAATACATCAGACTTCTCACTTTTATTTTTGAAACTGCAGCTCTACCAGCCCTAGCAAAAGGAGAACACAGTTTCTATTCAAAAAGAATTTTTAGCATAGAAACGTGGTATCCAGGATTAGAAGTATCCTGGGATCACCAAGTGATGAGAGAGCTATCTAATTAGTTTTGATAAAATTCAGACATAACTATTAATAGGATTGAAACTCTGCACTCTGTCTGCAGAAGAACTCTAAGTCCTTATAGTTTGTCAATTTATTATTACATTTGTCATTCTCTAAATGGAGGCAGAACTTGATTGCCATTAAAACAAATGAAATATAGTTCTTAATAAGGTACTTAGAAAACTAGAAAACAGTTTTGTGGAAGAAAAAGTTCAGACTTGGGTCTAGAATAGACAAAAATAAGGCCATCACCATTGTATGGAATCAATCAATTAGAAGGTAAACACAAAGACTGGTGGAAAAAAATTTAATTCTCTAGAAATAAGAATTGTATCATCTTCAAAACCATGGAGAATGAGAGAGATGAGAAATGACTGAGTTTCATGTCATTGCAGAAGACCAGTAATTCTGTAAAGAATTAAAAACATAAAAAAGTAAATCAAGATTTTTAGCCAAGGGACTGTAAAGCAATCTTATTTCTCTAATATCCTACCTTGTAGGACCTCTGACAAGTTATAACGGAAATCCTTTGCTTTGGCTGCATGCATGGTAAAAATATAGAAACCATTATTTGCATCACTAGACCCAATTAAGTTTCAAACCAGAAGCTTCTCTTAAAATCAGTCCAGATCAAAAAAGCATGTACCAACAGACTTGTAAAGCTGTAAAGCTTGCAGAAATGCATGTTGAAGCCTACAAGATCAGGGACAATAGCTCTACCTACGGACATACATCTTGAAATTTGAGACACTAATTTTCACTCTTAGATACTATATTAACAATACTATCTTAACATTGTCATATTGAGATACAATTATCACTGTTACAAGCTTAAAACTGAGGTCATTCAACAGCTCATTCATGAGAGGATGACTGATCAGTTGACCTGACTCTATAGGCAACACAGTCCGTCAGAGGAGTGGTAACATTAGCTGCCCACTTTCAACCACTGCTGCAAGTTTCTGAGAGTTTAAACTGAAACAATGCATATTTAGCTTACATTTCAAATGAACTACAGCATACATGTTACAAAGAGATCCAGATCTATCCTTGGAGATTTCTTCAATTCTTTAATAAATGCAGTATGTTAATAACCTTTTCCAGTCTTATGAGAATCCCATTTTAACATCATAAGAGTTCAACATTAAGATGTACTTTCTGAACTACATTGCCTATTCTTACCATGTAGGTCATTTGCAAACACTGCAGTAGTCAATTCAGCTATCTAGAAATTTAAAATGGCCTTCATTTAATGTATATCATAACAATTATTAGAGGCGTCTTAAGATTTAGAATTCTTACCTAGAACTTCTTCATAATCTACAAGTTCAAACCAGACAACTGCTACTGATGTCCAAACTCCCAGCAAAGCAATTACCATAAACCAGGTGAAAAATGAGCTTCCAGAGAGGCCTTCTTTCTTTCCATTCTTGCTTCCTCCATGCTTAGTCTCTGTTAAAGTAAGGCAAACAAGTAGGAAAAATGGATTCGTATGGCAGTTAGAAAGTTATGATTGAGGATATAATTATAAATCTTGTTTCTTATGACTACACAGAATACAAGACATTTGAGTAACAGCTGTGAATTACAGTGGGAAGCTCAACGATTATTTAAGTAAAAGCCCTATAACCAACCAAACACTAAAAACCCACATGTAATTTGTCTTAACAACTTAGTTGGAAATCCCCCCTCCCTCCCCTTTAGTGTACATTTATATAGAGCTTAACATTTTTGAGATGCTTTGCATTTGTGCCAACAGTTCTCAAACTGCCACCAGAGGGCAATACGGCCAGCAAAAACAGTTTGGAAGAAAAGCATTTCTTCTGTAGCAAGTTTCAAAGCTAGTTGAATTAGCTCACAGAATCAACATGAAAATTCAAATAACCTAAGAAGCTTCAAAATCTAAACCATATTAAGGCTAAGACTCCAAGTTCAGACATACTACCAACTAAAAATATCTTCCCTGTTGCTTAGAATCAAGCAGAGATTCACTACATGCTGAATTTAGACTTCAAGTCCCATGGGCCATACAAGTAAAAGGATGACACAGAGACTTAATGCAAATCAGACCTTCATTTATAACCGCACATATGGAAGGTAAGTATATATAAAAAAATACAGTAGTTGTAAACAAACCACTGGGAAAAGAAAGACCTCAACCTAGCGTATGGGTAGGGGGTTTCAAATGGGCATCGCCACTACAGAAGACATAAATTGCTTGGTCCATTGCTTTAGGATCATTTTAGGAAAAGAGGGATACATGCAGTAAATAAATGTGCATCCAAAAAAATGCCTGCGGCCTTTCTCCAAAGCTCAAGGTCTGCTATTCTGCCTTCTGATACTACCGCTGCAGGTCTGGCACTTGGCCACAGTTTCATGTCTACCAGCCTATTCCACTTCATTCCCTTCTAAGCACCAGCTTTCGCCCATTCAGCCACATCCAGTCCTAGTTATTGAAGTAAAACTATTTCTTACAGATTTTGAAATACTCGAGAAACTTTGCCATGAATATTGTAATAATATAATAAGGTGGGGAGTTAACTTTATCATACTAACTGCAAGTAATGTTTGATGTATTTATCAACACTGATCATAGAAAAATACAAAAAATACTCTCAACAACTAAATATCAACATGATTGTTTTTAGAATAAAATGGAGTAGCTCTGGAAGATGAGTAATGAGATTGGTGACTGACTGACTTATTTCTATAATAGTTATTATGCAGAAGTACTTTCAGACCCTGCTTGCCATCAGGTTCACAGCCGTAATAAACTAAACTTCTATTACATTCATTGTGCTATATACTGAGTTCAGACCAAAAAAAAAGTCACAAAAAAACCAACTGACTCACATCAGGTCTTACTCAGCTCAGCATTTTATTGAAAAAAAAAATTCTTTTATTATGACTACTCTGTACAAAGATCAAATACCAACCTTTTAGTTTCTTTTCTGTATTAAACAAAAAGTTGCCTTGGTATAGGCTGTCCAATAACATTCAGAGAGAAACCAAGACAACTTAACCTCACATCAGGCATGTATTGCTTGCTACTGCACAGTACCCTAATTACATATGTGCAAGGTCCATATACATAACTCATCATAACATCTCTCTTGTGGGAAAGATGTACAGGTAGCCTGAAAATAGAGGCAAAGACAAGCAGCGAGTGCCAGTACATTCAAAATATGATCAACTCTGTGTGAAAATTATTTAACATAGTCTTGAGCTAGAAATTTTAATATTCAGAAATAAACAATTATACTATGTAACAGTAGAACTTGGCTACTCCTGTGTCCCAATGCAGTCAACAGAAGCTTTGTACATATTTAAAATGAAACCTTAAGACTAAAAACATTTTAAATCATTCCAGGTTACAACTTTGTTCTAGAGCAAACTAGGTATTAGAAGAGGCAAACAAGAAAGAGAATCTTACTGTATTTCACACTTACTCATTTACCTGTTTTCTACTGTTTAATGCTAGTTGCCTCTGAAGAAAGGGGCTTTAGTTATCAGAAGAAAAGAACAGGGAAAAAAAAAAAAAAGACATTTAAGTAATCAAACATAGCTGGTTCATATTTTTTCCAGTCTAAAAGACTGTTTCATGCAAATCCCTCAAAAACAGATTCTGCTATAAAAATATCATTCACAACAGTCACAAAGATACATTTTTATGCTCCTATCTTATAGAAAAATTATTTTCAAAACTCTTGAAAAATTCTGCTAAGAATTCAACCATGGCAGCTTGATCAGGCAACACTTTAATATAAATGGAAGTTATGTAATGCAAAATTTACCTATCGTCTGCGCAAATAACCCTACACATAGGGTCAGAACAAAACATTGCAAGGACTGAGCTGGCTCAGAGCTCATTCCATACAGTTAATTCTCAATTCAAGCCCTTTCCCTGCACATGCTGCCAGCCATGTCAGAAGTAGGTCACTTGCCATATCTGGTAAGCCTGTGCTTAAACCACCAGATGTCTTTTGGCAGACATCACAAAGTCTTAAAACATGCTCTATTCCTCAATGGCAAATCTTTAAAAGTCCTATACCTCACCCACCCTGCATTAAGAGTCACACCTAGATAAAAATGTATGAAAACCTTTTTCCTTTTACTTTAGCGTATATTAAAGACACCTAGTAATTTCATGTACTCCAAAAATAACTTTAAAGTCAGATATTTGAACACAAAACAATGTCTTTTATGTTAATGTGTGCTCTACTCAAGCAAAAACTAAGTTACAATTAACCAGCTGCCATAAACTGGAATACCTCTAGCCCAGAGAACATTTAATCAAAGAGAACAGAGGCAGCCAGTAATGCAGACTAGAACAGCAAACTGGCTAGAAAACACCAACATACCACAGTAAGCCAGTTATTTTGCTGATTACAAAATCAGACAGAGCCGGTATTTGCAACTACGCACTTTCCATTTGTTCACAAAAAGGTCAGGAACATACCTGTGTCGTCAGCCATAACATTAGTGCTCAATTTCCACGGACAGAGTGAGTGTGTCGATATCTCCAAAATTAACGTTGAAGGCAGAGTAAGAAATGATTTATCCTCACTGTAGTCTTGCAACAGAAGCAAACAAGTTTCCTAAAGCCAGCTCAGCTGGAACACGAAACTGGACCCAAGAGAAATCTCTCTTCCATATCTATTTTTAGAGCAGTTATCCTCAGGAGCCAAACGTTTTTCTGAACTCATATGGCAATCTAATTCTGACGACAATCAAATTCACTTACTCCTCCTAACAGAGCATTCTGGGTAGTTGATCCTTTCCCCTCCCCTTAATCTTCCAACATCAAACACAGCAGTGAATGAAACCGAGCACATTGTACTGTAGTATTTTTGCTGCAATGCATGCCTCAGTGCCTGAGCTCTAAGGACATTGAATCCATCAGCATAAGCTGAAACACAAGTCTGGACACAAAGCTTGCCTGCTCGCATTTGTTAAGCTGGCCCTCTCCCAAGAAACTTTCTCCATGTTGGCACTCCTCTACCAAGCTTCCCAAGTATCCTGTAGAGACTGCTTATTTGAAACTTGCTAACTACTTTAAGAATAAAAGACAGCTAATTTCTAAAATGTAGTTTTGAATCTTCTAAGAGTCACTTGAAACCAACCACACGCATTACTGCCAAAGAATTTTCAGATCAGAACTGTTGCCCCGGTACACCTCATATTTGCTTCTAGCAGACCCAAAGGAGGGTTACTGATAGTTTTGCCATAGCAAAGCCTGTTTCCCTAGAGTGCAATACACCACATGCCGTAAAGGTAAACCAGGAAAAATTTCCTATTGCGTATTTGTTAAAAGTAGCAGAGGTGGTGCTAAAAGTAGCAGAGGGATCTGGACAGGCTGGATCGATGGGCCGAGGCCAACTGGATGAGGTTCAACAAGGCCAAGTGCCGGGTCCTGCACTTCGGCCACAACAACCCCATGCAGCACTACAGGCTTGGGGAAGAGTGGACGGAAGGCTGCCCAGAGGAAAAGGACCTGGGGGTGCTGGTTGACAGCCGGCTGAACATGAGCCGGCAGTGTGCCCAGGTGGCCAAGAAGGCCAGCGGCATCCTGGCCTGTATCAGAAATAGTGTGGCCAGCAGGACTAGGGAAGTGATTGTCCCCCTCTGCTTGGCACTGGTAAGGACACACCTCGAATACTGTGTTCAGTTTTGGGCCCCTCACTACAAGAAAGACATTGAGGTGCTGGAGCATGTCCAGAGAAGGGCAACGAAGCTGGTGAAGGGTCTAGAGAACAAGTCTTATGAGAGCATCTGAGGGAACTGGGGTTGTTTAGCCTGGAGAAAAGGAGGCTCAGGGGAGACCTTATTGCGCTCTACAACTACCTGAAAGGAGGTTGTAGTGAGGTGGGTGCTGGTCTCTTTGGCCAAGTAAGTAGCGATAAGACAAGAGGAAACGCCCTCAAGTTGCGCCAGGGGAGGTTTAGATTGGACATTAGGAAAAATTTCTTCACCAAAAGGGTTATCAAGCATTGGAACAGGCTGCCCAGGGAAGTGGTTGAGTCACCATCCCTAGAGGTATTTAAAAGACCCGTAGATGCAGAACTTAGGGGCATGGTTTAGTGGCGGACTTGGCAGTGCTAGGTTAACAGTTGGACTCAATGATCTTAAAGGTCTTTTCCAAACTAAACGATTCTATAATTGTATTATTTTGCTTTGTTGCTCTCCCTTTCCAGAAAGGGCTAACACTAGCTCATTTCACTCACCGCTCCTTTAAATTCTGACAATATTCATGCTACCTGTACTATTTAAAGTTAACACAAATGATTAATGATCAACATACTCCCTTCTTCTTAAGGGCCAGAAAAGGATGAAAAAAACCCCAAACCACTAATACTCTATTCAACTTATTTACACCTTCAGTTTCAGCGAACTAGTATCTTCCCACTGCATTTCAAACAAAAGCCAGCTCCTTTTGGGTGGGAGGAAGACAGAAAGAAGCTCATGTCTCATTAACAGCAACCCTAATAAAAACTTTAGGATCTAGCACTCTGCCCTTCCTCCCCCACACTTCTTTAAATAACATAGCCATCAGGTAGACGGAGTGAACAGAATGTTACAGCTACTTTGGAAAACAACAGATACCTCCTGTGGTTTTAACATCCAGCAACTAATTCCCAAATGCACTTCCCAATAGCTCAAGGGAGAAAAAAGGGAGAAATAACACCCAACTGAGTTTAAGACTCTTCAGATGGATGTAAAGCAGCTACATGCAGATGACTCTGTAACTAGTGTTTCTTTTAACTATTTTTAAAGCCACTTGAATACATCAAACAGAACAGATGCTTTAAGAAAGACCTCCTGACCAGTACATTTCAGCAACTTACGTGATGAACAAGAGATTTAGAGCAATATAGGAGAAAAATGTAAACAAAGGGTAAAAGACACCAAATATACAGAGAAATCAACAGCTTATTAAGGGAAATAATTGTACGTGCAATTATACGTAGTCTATTGCATATAAACTTACATTGTTTTGACAGGCATTAGATTAGGCAATTTGTTGCAACCTTACTTTGGCTGCACCTGCATTTGCAGATACCGGATCTTACTACAAGTGGATTCTTAGAGCATGCAACTGATGCTGAGAACCTGAAGTCCATATTATACGTATTTTGGGGGGATTGCTCCAAACTAGATCTTACCTGGCTGAATGCCCATAAGTAGTTGCAGCATATCTTTCTGTTTCATTTCTTTCAAACCTAAGTAAGTATATTCAGGGACAACAGCACAATGAATAAAAGCCAAGTGAGTGGAGACACTCAAGAAATTAATTTGAAATGTACACTCCCAATCTGAACTAACACACATATGTTGACCTTTAACCAAGTACCCACAGCCTTATCTTGTGCCCTTTAAAAAATCAATTGATTGCAAGAACATGTATTCCCAATAAATGACAAACATCTTCCTCCCTGAAAGGGGAGGCTACAGCTAAAACAAAGAAACTCTTCAGACTCACCAAAAGGAAGAGGGACCAAAAGGAAGAGGGACCAAAAGGAAGAGGGACCAAAAGGAAGAGGGACCAAAAGGAAGAGGGACCAAAAGGCCACAAAACTGATCATACACCCCATGAACAACATACATTAACACGCACCTTGAAAAATACAGCTTACACATGTATCTCTCTGAATGCCATAGTTCAAAACATCAGACAACATAATTTTGGTTAGTTTTGTGAAAGACAAAGGTTAAATTGAATAGATATATATTTAAAATACAAATCAATATTGGGATAGCTAAATCAGCAGCGCAGACTTCTTGTGAGGTCTGATTCTACTGTGTTCAAATGCTGTGACTACAGGTTTGTCTGTTGGTTCTTTTTTGAAGCAACTCAAATTGCTTCACTAACACTCAAAGTTATACAAGTGAGGTGAAGAAAAATAACTGTTTCAAACTTTAAAACTACTTTCAAGTTAGTTTTGCTACAACTATGCACTCCATGCTATTTTAGTTAATTTTAGAAAAGCATAATTGACAATCAAGACTAGCAGCATTAATTTCATCTGTAGATCACTACCAAAGTGCAAGCAAAGAAGCTTTGAGGAAAAAAAAATGTCAACTATGAACACAAAAATAAAGGCAGGCTTCAAAGCATCAAGCTAAGCTTTTGTGATGTGTATAATTATTTCCCACAAAGGTGCATTAGGAAGTAATACAGAAGCAGTTATGGATTATCACATGAAAAGAATGGTGCACACCAGCAGGCAGTGACTAGAAATTAGAAAAACACAGTTAAAAGGAAAACAACAAAACACTAACCGCAGAGAAATATCTAAAAATAGCATTTCAGAAGTAAAAATTATCAATCAACTAGACCATAGGGCGACTTTAGAACAAGTTAGTTTTAAAAGCAAAATTCAGCGTGATGAAAAACAGATACGGGAGAGAAGTAAAAAACTAAAATAGGTTACAATAGAACTGTCCTACGAGCAATAGAGCTGAGCTAGTAGCAGTGCAAAGACAGAAAACAACCTCTCTTGTATGAGCATGGTCTGCTACCGCTTGACATTTTTGCCAAATTACCTTCTCCAATATGATTAACGATAAAACAACTGTTACAAGCCATTCTCAGTAATAAAATTGCAGTTAATTATTTTTAAACAGTTTTTACACAAAGGTTTTGTGGTTGGGGTCAGTAACAAGTATTTTGAGTAAAATATCTACTAACGGGAAGTTTACAGCATTCTCTGTTGATACTATTTTTGTCCTGCTATTAAAATACGACCTTTCCCCCCCATCACTACTGTGAGACAGGTCATATATGTGTATACATATACACACACACTTTTTGTGATATGTAGTTTAAAATCTAGACTCAATAAGCATGTGTGTTGAACTGTTCCATTCTGAGAAGTCCACACACCATAATGATTGCAAGTGCTATCCTGAGGTAAAACAGATTTTCATCTTTAATTTTCATTCAGTGTAGGAAGGGTAGAATAATACACTTTTAATGGACAAATCTGAGCTTTTGATGTGTTTTTACAAAATCTGTTTCTTTTTGTAAGGGAGACAGGGTTACTGTTTTCTCTCTGTTTACTTTACAATAGAACAGAGATTTTTACTAAAATACTTATGGTATCACTTATAAAATATTTCACCCTCAAATTTTCACAAATATCCATACTCAGAAATTTTTGGTTTTTTTACAAACAATCATGACAGCAGGGTTTTTAGAGATAAGATCTGAAGTTTAAGGTAAAGGTTTACTTTCAATGAATTCAATATAAATTCTTTGTGATACAAAATTGATTCTTCCTTTTGGTATCTAAGAAATCTTCTTCAGCACTGCAAGCTTAATGGAAATTAGGAAAAAAAAAGTGGCTTTTTTTATTATTTTTCTCATTAAAAACTAGATCTCTGCTCTGCATTATATATAATCTAGTCTACATGGTTATAAAGATACCTGTGCACATTATCAAAGGACTTTAATAAACTAAATCAGAAACTTACT